ACAGAGAAACGCAGGAAAAACAGAGAACTTACCTGGCTGCAATGATGGTATCGCGCGACACTGATGATGGTGTCGTGCGACACTTGTTTTCCTCGTACCGAATTGCAGCAGACCAATCCGAATTTCTGGTTTGACTCCGGTTTCATGATTTCCTAATTTTTTTTTTTTTTTTTTTTTTTTTTTTTTTTATGAATAGTAGCAAGTGACAAGCGACACCGAAAGTGGTGTCGCTCGACACTAACATCTGCTTCACCTGAGACACGAAAAGAAAAACGAAAATCAACTGAAACAAAAAGACTTATGTACAGACTCACCAGTGGATTGCCTTCCACCAAGCGCTTGTTTAAAGTCATTAGCTTGACTATGGATAGACTATGCATCTGGTGGATCAGACAGTGGCAAAGAATGCCTATGTGAAAGTCGTCTCATCCATGGTGGTGTATAAGCGTTGTGGGCATGAGGTCGTCCAAGGAATGCAGGAATAACACCAGGGTGAGATCTGTGTTTGTGTGGCCTCAATCTATTCCCTGCAATATCATCAATAGAAAAACCAAGTGTTCTACGATAATCTCGTAGCTTGCGTCGTGAGACAGAGCCTGCATCCTTTGAATCAGTTCCAATGATATCACGAGAATTAGGCTTAGGCTCAAGAGGTGCGTACCTTTGCTTTGGTGGAGATGGATGGAGTGCAATGTTTGGAGCTTCCTGATCAACAGCAGTCACTGGTTCTGTAGACGTTTTCGTCAACTCAGATTGATCTCTCACCATCTCAGCATCAAACACGTTCTGATCTCCAACTATCACTTCAGGTATTGCAGTGACTTGGAATGTCTGACCATCTATGGTGGGATCCTTCAGCTTCTCCATCTTGAAAGTCATGATGGTATCTCCCAGGTGGAGATCAAGGTTACCATGCTTGACATCAATCACCGCTCCAGCTGTAGCTAAAAACGATCTTCCCAGGATAAGAGGATCTTTGGGTTCCTCTCCATATTGCAGAACCACGAAATCTGTAGGAATTATGCAATCACCAACTTTGATTGGAACATCTTCCAAGACACCTTTTGGGATTCTTTTAGACCGATCTGCTAGGATCAAAGAGATCTTAGTTGGCTTGAAGTCAGTCATCCCAAGGCTAACAGCTACAGAGTGTGGCATGAGGTTAACACTCGAACCAAGATCACACAGCGATCTCTTGAACCTCTCTAAGAAGATAGAACAGTCCAAAACAAAGCTTCCTGGGTCCGAGAGTTTCTCTGGAATCTTATTCTGAATCACAGTACTGACCTGTTCATTGATCATCATCACTCCTTCCTCATGACTCAGATTATTATTCACCATTCTCTTCACATAGTGTCTGAGAGTAGGAGCAATCTTCACAGCATCAACCAAAGGAATCTCAATCACAAGTTTCTCCATCAAAGTCTTGCATCTGGCATCATCTATCTCCTGCTTGGACTTCCTAGGACTCCTTGGGTAAGGAACCTTAGGTTTGTAAACCTTTTCCTCAGCAGATTTCGAACTTTGAGCAATATCAGCTTTGCTCTGCAATTGGTGACGCGCGACACTGGTTGTGGTGTCGCTCGACACCGGCTCTGCAACTTCGAAATTTTCTTCAGATTCGTCCAACTCCACGATTCCATCCTCAGAAACACCCTTTTTCAGCACAGGAGTCAACTTTTTACTACTTCTTAACGAGATGGCACTGCAGTAATGCCTAGGATTGGTATCAGTCTTCCCAGGAAGGAATCCTTCTTGCCTTTTTACAGACTCTGCAGTCTGAGCAACCTGAGTATCAAGCTTCTTGACATGAGTGTTCAGAACTTCAATTTTTCCATTCAGATCCAGATATAGAGCATCAATCTTCCCATTGAAATCCACAGTCATCTTCTGCTGACCTTCCAAAATCTGTTCCAGCATAGACTTCACCTCATTATCTGGAGTTTGAGTAGGAAGAGAACCATAGTTCCTTGAAAACTTGTTGTTGGAGTAGGATGTCTGGTACTGAGGTTTGGAGCTGTAACCAGAAGAGTTCTGATTACCTGTGAAGGTACTCCTCTGATTATTTCCATTGTAATTCGTGTTCCCTTGCCCAGAACCAAATCTCTGACCCTGAAATCCAGCTCCATTGATGAAGTTAACATCCTCTTCCTCAAAAGCTTCATCTGGTCCGAAATTCTGAACTCCTGCAGGGTATCTGACAGATTTCTTACCCACAAGAAGACTATGCACAGAGTCAAGCTTAGCCTTCACCTCAGCAATTTGCGATCCATCCATGTTCCCAGCCTGCTTCCTTCGTTGATAGTCTGCATTCTTGGTACTATTGCTAGATGCCAAGTTTTCGATGAGCTCAACAGCTTCGTCTGGGTATCTGGTGTTGAAGTTTCCATTGCTCGCTGCATCAAGAGCCATCTGATACCTCCAATCAACACCTCTGAAGAAAATACCCAACAGCTGAACATCACTGAAACCATGATGAGGGCAATCTCGCTGGTACGACTTGAATCTCACCCAAGCAGCTTTGAACGCTTCAGTTGGTTCTTGAGAAAAAGTTGAAATTTTCGTCCTCAACTCCTCAGATCTAGCATCATCGAAGAAGTTGTGCAGGAAAGCATTCCTGGTCTCTTCCCAAGTAGTGAGTGATCCTGGCTCCAACTGCTTCAACCAGTTAGCTGCTTCTCCAGCAAGAGAGTAAGGAAACAGCTTGCAGAGGAAGAAATCATTGGACACTCCATTGTATTTGATGCTGGTGACCAAGTCCTCAAACCTCTCGATGTGATCCATAGGGTGCTCATGAGAGTGGCCATGGAAAGGATGCTGACCCACAAGAGTGTAATACACAGGCTTGAGCTCAAAATCATTCCTCTGAAACGCAGGAGCGCGAATCGCAGACCGATTTGCATAGAATTGCTCAGGCCTGTTGTAGTCACCCAGCGTCCTGATGATGTTACCCTGTCCATCAAGTCGCTGGCCTCTCTCATTGCACACATGACCCTCTTGGTCTCTCCAGACTCCAGCATCATCACGAATCAATGCCAATGCGTTCTCCATCTTTGCTAGTTTCTGAGACAAAGAGAAAGAACAATGTAAGTAACAAAGCAAAAATAAAATAAAGAAAAACAACGGGTGTCGCGCGACACCAATGCTGGTGTCGCTCGACACTAAAAAAAAACTTAGTCGAAACTCAAAAACTAGGTTTAATGGCGAAATCAAGTCCCCGGCAACGGCGCCAAAACTTGATCTGCTCAAAGTTTTATCCCTAAGCTACTCTGCAAGAGCACAGATGTGCAGTTGTAGTATGTAGGGGTCGAACCACAGAGACAAGAGATCACTCAATAAACCTTATAGAGATTGAATTACGCTAAGCAGAAATATTGTAAATAAATAGCAATGCAACAGAATTAGACTAAGCAGCAATAAAAACGGTTTGTAAGATTCAGATGAATGGAGATTAGGCTTAGGGAGTTTCTCAGGAAATCAATGCATGCAGAACAATCGATAAATCAGGGTTCAGGTTTAAGCACGGTTCTTGAACTCGAATCACAGAATTATAATTAACCAACTTCCGTTGTGAGAATTATCTAAGTTAAAATCCTAGAATTCCAAATTCCTTTGCAAACCCTAAAGATTTAAACCAGCTTTAATGCTCAAGTTCGATATGTTCACAAAGTATCTAAACCAAATTCCTTTGCGAATAGCTACTTTGCTCACCCTAGGTTCTTTCCAGTTATTCAATTACACTTCCGTGTCAATTAAGCAACTTAAGATCTAAGTGCTAGGTGGCCAGTCCAGAATTAGCTTTAAGAACAACCTATGGTGAAGAACTAAATAGATTATGAACCCTAACTAACCAATCAATCTAACATCCAATGAAATCCTTTATGAGAACTCTAAACCTAACAAGCAAACTACTCAGACATGGAGATTGAAGCAATAAGCATCAATGAATAGATTGCAGAAAACAGTAAATAGATAAATAAACAGGGGTTCGAAATCTTCTCTCTCTCCGGAACAGAGTTTCAGACTTGTCTCCCCAAAAACTCTCAAAAACAAAAACTCTCTCTAAGAAAATCTAAGGTTCGATATATGGTGGCTAAAAACCCTATTTATAACTTAAAAATACGTTTTGGGCTTCCTTGTAATTATTGGAGACTTTTGGGCCCAACTCCTTCTTCAAATAGGAGACAAAATCGCCTTTTCCTTATTTCTGCAACAAGTGTCGCGCGTCACTCTCCATGGTGTCGAGCGTCACTAAAGCACAAAATCCATACTTGACAAATTTGATTCTGATTAAGCTCCAAAGTGCTCCAAAGTCTCCAGTTAAGCTCCAAACGTACCTATGACCTGAAAAGACTCCAAAAGACTCGAAAGACACTAAAAAGACTCTATAAATAAGACTTATACCATGGTTAAAAACCATAAAAATCATGATATATCAAAAACTTATTTGTTCTTCTTCCTCCTCTGTCTGGTCGTATTCCTCACTTTTTCTTTCAGTATTCTCATTCAATTTTGATTCTAGGGTTTACAATTTCTCAATTGATTTGGGGGTTTTGTTGATTTACAGTTTTCTACTACATTGCATGATTCATATTTCGTTTCTATCTGCATGCATGATTATAATTTCGCTCATAGCCACATGAATGATTCTGGGTTTTATAATTTTGATTCTGGGTTTGCTAATTTCGATTCTGGGTTTGCTAATTTTGATTCTGAGTTCTGCACCTTCCTAATTGCTTTGGGCTATTGTTTATAGTAATTTCGTGATTCTGGGTTTGCTAATTTTGATTCTGGGCATGATTAAATGAGTTTGTGTTCAAAGATTTACAAGTTGTGTGATGTTTTTAAAAGATTATGCTGTTGTTGTTTGGTCAAAGAGTTTAATATGGTTTTTTACTACTGAATGAACAGATTTAAAAAACAAGTTATCGACAGGTGTTGGTAAACTAGATATTGAACTTTTTTTTCTTAGCAAAAGAGAGTTCATTACAAGGATAGCATAACGTAAGTTTGATGCATAATTGAAAGTAAGAAATAAAAATCAAACAGACATGTTAAATCAAGTAACACAAGTTACAATTAATTAGTCAAATTAAAAGACACTATAGTTTGTTTATCTTCACTACCTTTCGCCCAAAGAAAAAGAAAAATGTATTCTACCAACTTTGACCAGTTGGTGTCGTTATGATTGGACATTGATGATAATGTATTTTGGTCGCATATTTCTGAGTTCTGCACCTTTCTAATTGCTTTGGGCTATTGTTTTATAGTAATTTGGTGATTCTTGGGTTTGCTAATTTTGATTTTGGGCATGATTAAATGAGCTAGTCTTTACAGATTTACAAGTTGTGTGATGTTTTTAAATGATTATGCTGTTGTTGTTTGGTCAAAGAGTTTAATATGGTTTTTTACTACTGAATGAACAGATTTAAAAAACAATAGTCATCGACAAGTGTTGGTAGTGGAGTTGTATTAAGGTTCACTTTTGGTTGTTGAGTTCGCTACCAAAATTTGGGATACTGCTGGTTAATAGAGGTAAGATTACCCTTTGTCTCTTGTTTTATTTTTTTTAATTTTCCACCTTGAATTCAATCCTTTTGAGGAAAAGGTTTTAAAATTTGTTTCTCTGTGCTTAAGTGAAATTCATGCTTTTCTGTGTTTTAAGCATAAGCGATCATATTAAAATTCCTATTTGATGATATATGTTTGAATAAAATGATGGACTTTGATAAACCTAAATGTTGGACAATTAAGCCAATATGATGCATTAGTATCACTTCATATCGAGCTTACTTGAGGTTTACTATAGTTTTCAACTGCTTAACTAGTCTACTTTCAACTCATGTATTATTTAAAATTTGTGTACGTGTGAAGGAGAAGTTGATGTGCGATCGATCATATTGTTCCAGCTCTTCAATAGAAATGATACGTAGGAGTGATTTAGAAAATTTTGAAAGTGAACAATGATGGGTATGATCACAATAGCTTGTTGATTTTTTAGCATTTGATCACAATAGCTTTTTTTTTTATCATAATGGAACGATGAGATGTACGTTATTTTTAGCATTTGATCACAATAGCTTATTGATTTCACCATGTAAAGCAAGCAATTGATTCTAATGACAATTATTGTCATATATATTTGTAGGTATGGACGAGGAACTTCCGAAACTGCTTTTCGAGCCTGGTTTTGTGAATGATATTGACAAGATCAACAATCGATGCATTCTTAACACAATGGACCCCGTTAAGAAAGCACTTCCAGTCGAATACAAAAGAGTTCTGCTAGACCCTGTCTTTGGACCTGTTTTGTCGATTATCGAGAATGACATGGGATATTCAGGGCGACTAATCCATAGCTTTCTGTGTAAGGAGCTCATCACCGACAAGAAACACGAGCTATGGTTCGTGTTTGTGGGGAGACCTCTTCGATTTTCTCTGCAAGAATTTCATGCGATTACTGGACTTAACACGGAAGACGATAAGACTTGTGATTTCAGTGATTGGGTTGATGATGGCGGGTTCTGGAGTAAGTTTTTGAGAAGCAAAATGTGGAATTACTTTGTCTAACATAGAAAATGAGTATCTTGGGCGTGTCAACAAATGGATGCGTGAAGACAGGTTGCGGTTAGTGTACTTGTATGTTATTGCTTCTCTGGTAATGGAAAGAGCAAGACCATTAAGATCCCAAAAGAATATATCATTCTTGCTATGGATCTGGAGAAGCTACGGAAGTACCCATGGGGACGTGTAGCGTTTGATTTTCTAGTGCAGAGTATCAAGAAAGTTCGTGTGAAGTTGATGCAATTTACAGGCTATGCACTGAATGGCTTCTCAATAGCTTTTCAAATCTGGATCATGGAGGCAATTCCCTCGGATATATGCTGTCTTCAAGATTGGACGATGTGATCGCTGGTGTTGCTATATCTTTTAACTATATAATGTCGTTTTTATTAAAAAAAACTGGAACTCCATCCAGAGGGTATTGAACCCAGGTCTGAGAGAAGGAATGAACAAAGGGGGAACCAGTAGAGCTGTTATAGAAATCAAGGATTTCTTCCTTGCAATATCTTTTAACTATATAATGTCGTTTTTATTAAAAAAAACTGGAGAACCCAGGTCTGAGAGAAGGAATGAACAAAGGGGGAACCAGTAGAGCTGTTATAGAAATCAGGAATTGCTTTCTCGCAATATCTTTTAACTATATAATATCGTTTTTATTAAAAAAAACTGGAACTCCGTCCAGGGAGTGTCGAACCCAGGTCTGAGAATAGGAGTGATCAAAGGGGAAACCAATAGAGCTGTTATAGAAATCAAGAATTGGTCCCTAGCAAAATGTTTTAATGTGTTTCATTTTTTTTTCTTAAAAAATCTCTGAAATCCCATACGACTTGTTGTGCCTGAAATTCATCACATATCGTACAGAGCATCTCTAAACTAAGTTAAACCTCCAGTTTGGCACTTAAACTTGAAAACCAGTACAGAAATTGTCTTTCATAAAGTGAAAATAAATAAGAAAACCAAATAAGCAAAACGAATAACAATTAAAAAGAGATAGAGAAGAGCCTATATTGGCATGTCACATGTCCCTCTCTTATGTCCTTCGATACCACAGCGACTGCACTTGTGCTTATTAGACCGTTGTGATCCTTGGGACGCTCGTATCTTGTCTTCCACACTTTTGTATCCTCGTTTTTTCCTGCGTTCAGCTGCTCGTCGCGATTCCGGTTCTACAACGTTGGCATGTTCAACATGATCAGGGACACACCAATCATCCTCAGGACCTGCAATTGGATTAATGCATTCCTCATCAGCTGTTCTCCATGCCTCAGTAGTGTAATAATGATCGGTGAGAGTGTGTATCTGCTGGTTCACAGAAAACGCTGCTTTAATTGCATGCCGACACGGAATTTTAAGCAAGTCGTACTTGCCACATGAACAAGTTCTTCTGCCCAAATCAACAAGACAGTCATATTTGTCACCTCTGACCAAAAATCGATCCTGGCTAACTGGGTAAACAATGAATGTTTTACCCTTATCAATCCTTCTCTCGATCTTCGTCTCAACCTCAACTGTTAGAGGAACCTGATGCTTTGAGCTAAGTTTTTTACGCTCATAAAACCAATTGGTTAACATTTCTCTGATGCTGTCGAGTAGAGGAATAACTGGGTACTCTCTATGAGTTAGCAATTTATTATTTATCGACTCAGCTGGGTTAGTGGTTCTAACATCGTACCTAAATCCGGGGAATTTGCATCGTGCCCATTTCTCAACTCCAGCGTCCTGAAGATACTTCCCAACATCTGGACTATTAGAACAAATGGCAGCAAACTTGGTATCAAAAGCAGAAACTCTGTACTCTTTAGAAGCCTTCGCAATCAAACCAATCAAACCCTGTGTCTTGAAAAATGTTATCACATTATTCAGCAAGTGGTAGATACAGATACCATGGCTAGATTGTGGGTACACTTTCTCAAGTGCTTTAATTACGGAAACATTTCTATCTGACAAAAAAGCCAAACGCACCTCATCCGTAATGACAACTTTTAGTTGCCTCATAAACCACTCCCAAGACAGGTCGTTCTCTGAATCGACAACCCCAAATGCGATCGGATATAAGTTCGAGTTGCCATCTAATGCTGTAGCAACGAGCAAAACTCCTTTATATTTGTTTTTCAAAAATGTCCCATCCACAACAATCACCCTGCGAATAGCTTTGTAAGAACCTCGTACTGATTGACCGAAAGAGAGAAACAGAAACTTGAAACGTCCAGTAATGTCAGTTTCATACTGCGTATGGGTCCCTGGATTCGCTTCTTTCAGCATGTGCAAATATTTAGGAATTTTGGCATAGCTTTTCATGGGAATGCCTCGAACAATACTAATCGCATACTCACGTGCTTCCCAAGCATTGTCGTAAGAGATGTCACATCCATGCTCTGTACGAATAAAATGAATTATTTCTCTGGGGCTAGGCCCTGCATTAGCATCCTCAAACTTATTCTTAATCAGATTACCAATAGTTTTTGCTGAAGCTGTCCTACCGACTACGTCTTTATTAGAAGGAGCGCATGTATGTTGAGCGACATACTTATTGATTCTGAAATACTCTGACCCCTCAAGACACTGTGCACAAACATGCCAGTTGCATGACTTCTCTTTGCAGCGGATACACCACACACGTTTGGTTGATTCCAGTACGTTGTAGTCAAAATTATACTTCATCGCAGAAATTTCAAAAGAAGCCTTCAACTCTGTTTTGCTTCTAAAAATTTGATCCTTCTTTACGACATCAAGCAAGTTAAGCCGAATGTTCTGCTCGCCGTCAACTTTTTTGTCAACCATAACGGGTTCATCAAACTCTTCCTCCACTTTATGGCCAATGCCTCTAATATCATCATCGCCTGACTTCACAACCTGATCGTTTTTCATACAGCTTGAATCAGAGGCTTTCTTCATCAATTCGATGTTAATCGGAATCTCAGGATGTCCAGCGTACGCGGTGAATGTCACACACAGATTTACCGAGGTTTTATTCCTAGAGTACCCAACAAAATTTTTGAGCTGATGATCATTAGCGATACTCACTGGTGGAGAGCCTGCAGTATCAATCAAATCACTAGATAGATAACTAAACTCAGCTTTGTGATCGACTACTCCATAGTCTTCTAGAACCATTGTTTCTAACTCTGCGAGAGTCGTATTTGATTCAACAGCAACTAACCTAGCTCATTTTTCTGCATCAGCCACAAAAACGCACTTCTTATCTGTCCCTGCTTTCCATGAACCACAAGTCACATAGATATGTAGCATGTTTGAAGCAGAAAATATGTAATTTTAGGAAAAATCTGCTTGATCAATGTGAAAGAAGAAGAAGAGAACGATGACAGCCAAAAAAGAAAAAAAAAACGTCAAAACTGATAAAAAAATGTTGAAAATTAAAAAAAAAAAAAAGATTTTCGAAATATTTAAGATCTGGAAGTTAACTAATTTTCATAGATTTTCTCAGATTTTGGTAGAAGATGTATTCTACGTTAATGTAGAATGCAGTCTAACAGGTAGAAGATGCATTCTATGTTAATGTAGAATGAAGTCTAACATGTAGAAGATGCATTCTACGTTAATGTAGAATGACGTCTAACAGATAGAAGAACCGTTCTACAATAACGTAGAATCTGGTCTAACAGGTAGAAAATGTATTCTACTAACATGTAGAATATAGTCTATCTAGTAGAAGTTATAATCTATCAATCGGTAGAATATATAAAAACCTATAGAAAACGACTTCTACAAGCTGGTAGAATATGTGAAGAACTATAAAAATGGGATTTTACGTGGACGTATAACATAGAACATGCATTCTACCAAGCGTAGAACGAATTTTAATAATATAGTAAAAATATTTTTTTTTCCATAAATAATAAACGAAAATATTTTTAATTTCTTTTTAGATATTTTTGAAAATTTTAAAATATAATTTCAAATTTATATTTAATTATAACTGCCATAACTAATTTAAAATAACAATTATATTAAAAAATGACAAAAAAATAGAAAATATTAAGGAGACAAATTCTAATTCAATCAGCATTATAAAATCAATTTTCCCTATTAATAAAATCATCAGTTCACAATATAGCTATACAACTAACAAAGAATTGCTGCCGATCTTAATAGAATCGAATCGAATTAAGCAGGAAATTCCAACTAGGTTAAAGTCGTCGAGAGAGTCCGAAGATATCCTAATAGGGCTAGGGTTTAATTGTTAATTAATAGGTCTCGCTTTTGCTATTTTTTTATTCGGGTTCTCTGTCTCTCTCACCGATTCAGGTTTGTCGACTCTCTCAAATCGTTTTCTTTTTCTCGTGTTCCCTTTTTTTCTTCACTATTTGGTTGAACTTTTTCTCTGTAATCTTAATTTCTGCTGCCTTTGGTTGACAAGTAAAACGAGCATATAGAGAATAGGTTTATCTTTCATCTTTTTTTTTTTATCGACAGTAAAGGTTTTCTCATAAGTTTCTTTTCTCTTTGGAAACTGATGCTTAATTTCTCTATGGCTGCTTAGGCTAGTCATGTAATTTTCTTCCATAGTTGGCAGATTTGTTTTGTTTGTCAGATTTGTGAGTTTTCAATATATTTTATATTTTTCTGCTGGCTTTTTCAATGTATAATATTGGTTTTATAATTATGTGAAGCATTGCCTGTTTCTTGCAATTGGTGGGAGTTTACAATTTAACTGACATGTTTCTGAGAAGGTTTTCTTTTGCTGCAAGTGACAAAGCTTAAGAATAGAATATGGAGGATCAAAAGCAGATGAGTTTCACGTTTGAGATAGATAACTTCTCCGAGAAGGAAACTGTGATATCATCTCCACAATTCTCAAGTGGCGGCTGCGAATGGTAAAGAAGAAGATTATATGTATATTATGTTTGTTATTTTATTATGATTAATCGTCTACATTCAACAAAATATCTAGTGTTTGTATATAATCGCTTCTTTCAGGTTTGTCAAAGTCTATCCCAATGGACTTGGTATTAAAGATCACTTGTCTCTGTACCTCTTCGTTGCGAATTCTGAATCATTGCGACTTGGATGGAAAAGGCGAGCTAGTTATTCATTAGTTCTGTTGAATCAATCAAGCAAAGAGATTCACAGAACATTTGGTAATTAACTTATCTTCCATGTACATATATATGATTGATGAATAAGAAAACTTAAATTAATCATTCTGTTTTTGTCTTACAGAATCGTCGTGCAGCTTGTTCTGCGCTCAGGTACCAGGATGGGGTAGGGCAAAGGCTGTGCCTCTTAAAAAGCTTCAAGAAAAAGGGTTATTGGAGAAGAACAAACTTATCGTTAAAGTCCAACTAAAAGTAATTGAAGTTGTTGATGAAGCACAAGTAACTGGGAAGGAGACAATGGATATTCGTGGTTTCCAAGTTCTTTATTCCCAGGTATAAGTGTATAACTAACTATTATGAAGATACTTCTTATTGATGTTTTATTTTTTTAATTATAAGAAGATTCATGTTGATAGGCTTTTTCAGTAAGTTGGATTTTCGAGGAACACCCTGACATTGCAGTGAATTTCAAACCAAAAAGCCAATTGGTGAAGACAACATACATGAATATACTCCTTGGTCTTATCGATACACTGAACAAGCCTCCACATAGCTTATCCGAGACTGAGCTAAGCAATGCTCAGAGCGTGTTGATCGATTTAACTGAAGCAGGCTTCAAGCTAGACTGGTTGAAAACAAAGCTTGACAAGGTTTCCTTGGAGAGGAAGAAAACAAATGCTGATCGTACTCAAGTCCAAGAACTCGAGGAACATATCAAGAAACTCAAAGCTGAACTGAACAAGGAGAAGGTCAAAGTTTTGTCCTTGAAGCAGACCGTGTCGGATATCATAGAGCTGAACAAGAAGCGGAAATTAAACCCTCAATAATTTTCTAGAAAATTTCGGTATTTTTTTCTAATTTGAAGCAGGAGGTCAAATCTAGTTGATGTCAAAACTTCATATCTCGGGATCCAGTGCCGTGAATGAACGGAAATTTGGGATTAAAATCTTTGTTAGATGAACAATATTCTCTGAAGATGTCTTCTATTCACTGCATGAGTCTTAATGAAGACTCTTCTTTTTTATTTTCAACAGAAATAACTTTATCTTCATTATGGAAAAGAACAAAGGACACGAAATAAATTATCATGACACAAGCTAGTTATTAAAGACTCCAAATCCCAAATTTGTGATTATAAAACTTTCTAACCTTCTAAACATTCTATAACACTCTTCACACAATGGTACAAATCAACAGAGAAACTACAGTAATTGTAAACTTGTAATCCGAATGAAGTAATAGTAGTATTCTTTTTCTTTTCATTTTTTTCTGTAATAGTAGCTTTCTTCTAAAGATATACAATCATTATACATCTAAATCTTGCCCTGCAGGTCATAGTACACAGATATCATGATCTGTATGGACTCCATTTCTAGCTGGTTTTCCGATCTGTAAGCAATCAATCGGTGGAACGGTTGGCGAATTGAGCTCTCCAAATGTTTTCCAGCAAAAGGGTTCATACATGTGGTACTGTTGCTGAACTGGTTTTAGCTCTATGCCTGATAATTGCACATCTATGCAAGGGAAACTATCACTGCAAGCAAAATGCACAGGCTTTACGGTGTAAGTGCCTCTTATCTTCTCATAAGTTACTCCTTCCACTGCCACTGCAGAAGTCTGGTTCTTGCATTTGCTGTGGTCACAGTAGAATTGATCGATCACTATTGGAAGCTGAACTTCTGTTAGTTGAATGTTTGAGAAAACTATTCCTTTCACTGATCCTACACCTCCCTGCATTCCCATTTCAATAATAATAAATAAATAAATCATCTTCAACACATTCAAGGTAATGGAGATTTAGACACATTCAGAGATTTCTTGTTTACCTGCCAGGTCTTGATCCGGACACCGGTCATTGTGTTGTGCATAACTACATCTCGGACTGTAATGTTAGAGACACATGCCTTGGTACTGTCTTTACCAAGGCTCCCGATGCTGATTCCATGTCCTGGTCCACAATTCACACCGTGAACATACACATTGGAGCAACCTGTTTGAATAGAAATGCAATCATCTCCTGCAAAACAGAGGAATCAATCAGCAAAACAGAGGAATCAACCATCTTATACAATCGTCGAGTAAGTGTGTTTGTAACTTTGTACCGCAAGCTAGTGTGCTGCTATAAATCAAGACATCTCTGGTGTTCTGAAGATGAATCCCATCTGTGTTTGGACTGTCTCCGGGAGAAGAAACGTTCACGTCATGAACTAACACCTGGACGCAGTTATCAAACTTGAGGTGACATTGAGGACTGTTCTGAATGGTTATTCCGGTCACTGTCACGTCTATACTTCCATAGAACCGTAGCGCCTGCACCACAAAAAAAACAAGGTAAATTAAAATATTTCACCGTGTAGTAAAAAAAAAGTAGAGACTACACTTGAATTTGTTTCTCACCGTTGGTTTAATGCTTGGCATTCCATTAAGCTCACTTCTTATCTGCCATGTGAAGTCAAAACAGAGAAACAGAGTTTTGTGTTAGAAGATTCTTGTGTGGATTTGAAGAAGACGATGATGATAATGATGATTTTTACCGGCATTGGAGGACGTTCTTGAACAGAATTGTTTAAAGGGACAATGAGCTTGAAGTCGTCGTCGATAGGATAATTAAAAGGGTAGTCTTGTTGCCACCAAACAGTGCCTCTTCCATCAATAACACCTTTCCCTTGTATTGTTATTGCTTTAAGCTTCGTGAACTCAATCCACCACATTAGCCCTCTTCCCCATGTTTCAGAATCCGTAGGAGCTACAATCATTCCATCCAGCTGCAACCAGATTCAAAAGGCTCAGAATCTATCAATTAAAAGGTACATTTTTATAAGTTTTGAGGATCAATTTCTCACCTGGAATACGATGTTTGGTTGACAATAAGGACCCGAGAAGGAAATTGGGCCAACGAGGAAGATATAGTCAGACGGTATGATCATTGTTGATGCCTCAACTTTGCAAGCAGATGCCCACGCCGATTCAAACGCCTGCAGATATTGTTAAAGATTTTATTTAATCACCATTTTGTTATTTTTTTTCTCAGAGAAAACTAAATTATTGTAGCTTTTT